GAGTCCCGGGTATTGCCAATTCTCCCTTGCTGAACATCACTGCCAGCCAAGATGTCCTCAGCCTCCCTTACCTTTATCGTTTGAGTGAACGTAATTTGGAGGTGATACAGCAATTCAAAAAAGACGCCGGAACTGATCAAGCTTATCGTGTGGCATTCATCATTGGAGCCATATGCTGTGCTTTAATCTGCATTGGCCTCACTCTTTTGCGGATCATCGACGCATTGGAGTCTGCGAAGCAGTTACGAGAAGTCGTCGCCGGTAGTTAACACATAACACTTAATATAGGATATTTCATAAGTTTATAATCAACCCTCGCTATCGCGTGCTTCATAAGTTAAGGAACAGCCCTCGCAATTACGACACTGCATACTTTGTATCAGCGCGCTATAACTGCAATGGTCAGCGGCGGTAACCGGACACTTTTGTTTTGCTGCGAGAGTTTCCGTTATTGCCTAAGATTTTGCTGAGTCGGCTTGCCGACCATGACATTGTGGCGTGATGCGAGTTTTGGCTTAGCTTAAGTGAAATATTCTGTGTATTAAGTTTTTAGTTTTGAATTCAGCGCTCTTCCAATAAGTCGCTTAAATAAATATTCACTCCGGCACTTGGCCGTTAAGCAATTTGTTTTATTGTCTGAACCCGAGGCCAGCAATAAGAGGCACAGTCGCCTCTCAACCTAATCTTCATCCACTACAGGACTGGAAGGATCTTAATTTATATATATATATATATATATATATATATATATATATCAAGTTCCTCTCAGTTGATACCTATTGCCACCTTCCCGCTACCACCGCAGAGCTATAAATCAAGTTAATAACCCAACTTATATTGCCCATGAATTTGAGCCCCATTTTAAATTCAATTTTCTTTTTGAGTTCAATAAGATGTTCTAATGGTTCAATAAGATGTACCGTAGAACATTTTATTTAGATTGGTTAAGAAAATCCCATAAGTTATGTGTCTTACTGCGCAATTGGATGGGGTCAAATTCCAAGAATTTCTGTATACATGTACACACACACATTCATGCGCATCTGCTGCGAAATTTGTCAACAGCGATTGCGATTATTTTTTGTGCTGATATTTTAATTCAATAAGACACAATTATTGGTATGGCTGTTGAGTAGAGGTTGTGCGGTCTGTCGCGAATTCGAGAATTCTTAATTTGAAGTCCGATTTGTGTCGCATTATCATTGTTTTTAGTTTACACTCTATTGAAATTATTGTTGGTGACCCCGCAACAATGTATTTTGTAAATTACATTACTTCTATGTATTGTAGTTTTGTTGAAAATTTTGTTGTAATGTTTTCGTAGGGTTGTGTGCTACTTTTATTTCTTGCTTGTTGTAGTAGTCTGAGTTTGTGAGACGTACTGATAATTGTGGTACATGTATTCAAGACATATATATTTTGACAAGTTCTGTAGGCTATTGTGTTCTACATTGTTGTCTATGTAAAAATGTATTAATTACATTCTGTGAGAAGTCGTTTTTGGTCAAATGTTGTTTAATTTCGCGTCTAATTTCTTTGTGGTCTCTTGGTTAGTGCTCTGAAGATAGTTCCCGATTTGCAGCAGAAATATATCGATAAAATATAGATTATAACAAAATAATTGTTTAGGTGGCTGGCTCGGACTCTGGGTTTGTTTTAATAAAACAATGAAAACAATTTTATTAATTTTTATATATTTCTGTTGCGCATCGGCAAACCGTCTTTAGGGCACTAACAAGGTACAAAAAACAGTTAACAATAAAATATATATAACAATAAATTGACACATTATTTTACACGTCTGCGCTTTATGACGCGGAAATTTGAACTGAGTCTGTTTGGCTGTTCAAAAGGTGTCTGTACAAGTGAGCGCAATTTTCGGGGCCTTCTTGTAGTTAGTCGTTTGTCCTTTGTTGTGTTAATTATCTGTAACATTTCTGGTGTGTGTCGCTTGTGTTGTTCTTGTTGTAAGATTGTTGTTGCATCAAAATTTGTTGTGTGGTTTTCTTCTCATACAATGGGTCATTACTGCTGTTTTCTGCGTATTATTTTGAACAATTTCCATTCTTTGCTTATTTTATTTGTACAGGATTTCGCTTGCAATCCTCCAAGTGTAAGGAGTAATACAGGGTCGGATTATCGACTACTCCCGCTCCAACTATATCCCGGTAATCGACGGAAAGGTAATGGTACAGGAGCAACGTGATTTTCTGAAGCACTCAAGCAATTTAACAGACCTCTCTACCATAACAGATGAAACTTTAAAACAAATCAAATTATTCTCTCAGTCGCACATACGAAAACTACTTGACGTGGATACAGATCATATCAGAAATCTATTGTCCGTAGTAAAAGTGCACCACAGAATGGCAAGGAGCTTAGATTTCTTGGGTTCAGCACTTAAATTAATATCAGGCCAGACGCCTCTGAACTCGAAAATGTAAGGTGGTCCGAGTCAAAGTTGATTGATGCGAACAATAGGCAGGTAGTTAATACACAAACACAGACACAAATTAACAAACTCACCGACACGGTGAACGAAATAATGAAATGTAAAAGAAATTAATTGGTAAACACACCGCATTTATATGAAACACTATTAGTAAGAAATATAATACTAATAAATCAAATAAACTTGATACTTACAATTACACTAGCCAAAGCGGGTATAATAAATCCCACAATATTTGACCACGATGATTTAAAATCAATTATAAATAAACATCCTGTCGAAATAAAGTCAAGGTCCTCCAGTCCGAAAACATTGTCCATATATTAATAGCGTATCCCAGGGTCCAGCTCTTTTGCAAGAAAATCAGCATCTTTCCGGTGGCACACCAACACGTCACACTACAGCTACAAGATGATACCATAGCCGAATGCGACAATGACATTCTAGCGGTCAATGAATGAGTAACGGCGACCTACGCCGCTGTCTGTAAATTGGCAGCGCAAGACACCTGCGCACAAGCACTGCACGCCGGCAGCACAGTGCTTTGCCGCACGCACCATCTATAGCCCATCACACAAGTCGATGACGGTATTATCATTATCAACGAGAGTGCTGGCAAGGTCAGCACAGACGATAGTCCAGAGATTACTACAAACTGGACACACCCCCCCACATTCCTCTCTTCGGCCATAATCAAAAGCACAAAACATGTAAGCCAGCGCGAGATGTTAACCAATCGCCAGAAGTGGCAGGGTCGCCTCTACTCAGCATCATCAGCCACGATCCAGTGCTAAGATTATAAGCTATAAGATTTGGATTGCAGCAGGCATCATCCTCAGTGTCGTTGGCATTGGCTTTCACATCGTTTGGCAAATTGTAAAGAGAAGGCAAGCATCGAAGGAAGTACAGAAGGTGGAATAAAAACTATTAACAGCTATAAAATAACCGAGAACGGTCAAAATCTTGAGAGAGGAGTAGTCAACACCTAAGAATTGCACTTCATATTTATGTCATAAGAACACACTTTTGTTTATAAGAACACAAGAATGTTGCAGTGCACTTTGCTTTAATACGACATTCTGCTGAGCTACGAGTTCAGTGCCCGGCCACTGCGGCCAGCAGCGGTAACCTGACACTTGCCTATGTCGCATGCGACAGTGTTGGAGTATGCCCAATCGGCTTGCCGGATATAGTAGCTAAGACTTATGCGCCTAGCCTTAGGGTTCAGATCTAATTCAATGTTTTAATTCTAGTTTGGTTTATAACCAACTTTGTAGGAAAAACTTCTTCAAATATACGGCACTTGTCGTTATCACTCCGTTACTAATTGTTTCATTTCTGAGGCACAAGGCCAGTGATTTTGAAGGCTAGTTGCTTCCCGAACATAATATACAACTTTACCAATCTCAGCATTTGTGACGAGGGTCTGAATATACAACATCAACATCTACAATTGAAACAAGTAAGAGTTTCTAGTCGGGAGCTCCCGACTAGGGGATACCCTGAACCCTCTTCCTTCAACATCAAATACATATATATACTTTATTTTAGAAGCTATATGTCAAATTTGGTGACTCTAGCTCTTATTATTTACCAAAATTGCCAAAAAAAAAAACAGGATATCGATATCGATTTTTACCGATTGCTTGGAAACAGTAAGTTATCGATTATCGGAATAAACTCGATCTGCGCGGGAACTAGGAGCACCTACATCTTAAATTTCAAGTCTCTAGCTCTTATAGGTTCTGAGATCCTTACGTTCATACATACGGGCGGACGGACGGACGGACAGACACACGGACATGGCTAGATCGACTCGGCTATTGATGCTGATCAAGAATATAGATGCTTCCTTCTGCCTGTTACATACATTTGGATTTCGCACAGATACAATATACCCATTTTTAATGGGGTCAGGGTATAAAAATCACATAACTTACAGGTGTGAACTATATTATTAGGTAGGTAAAAAGCTTATATGCTACTGGATGCTAATTTATAAAAGTTGCTGCGCACGCACCATCGAATTTCGCAGCTGCTATTAGGTACCAACGACGGAAGGCAGACAACTGTTCATCAGTCAATTCTGGCCATATTGAGTGTATGAATACGTGCGATCTTGCGCGGTACATGAAGTGATTTGCCAAACGAAAACGGGTCGCGCAAATTGTTTTGCAGGGCCTCGGAAAATGGCAACAACTACAGCAATTGCGAAGAGAAGAGACGACTTAAACTAGACAGCGAAATATCACCTTCACAGAATACACCTCAGGTGTATCTTAAATATCCTAATGTAGACTCTTCTTCACATAAACACTTATGAATTTTCTCAGTGAAAGGTAAAATAAACACTTGTCTTTCTCTTCATAGGGAAAGTCGAAGAACTCTTGTTCATTAGCGAGCACTACGTACAAAGATTGTATTGACTCCCTTTTATCAATATTGTAAGTGTAGGTATAGATTAGTTTACTTATTATTTTAACATTTCGAGAGTAGGTTCGTTGCTTTGTATGCGGTGGTAAAGTCTCTGCCCGACATAAAGCAAACATTTCAAAGATAAGAAATTTTATTCCGCGTTCGTTATTCTAAATCCAATTGCAACCTATCCGCAATTATATTAATCTAGCAAAATATTCCTGCGTAAGTATATAGTATATACAGCAATTTATTTGTACATAGTTTGTAAGACCATTTAAGAGTTACGGGGTTAACTTATTTGTTACTTAAACATATTTTTTATTCAACGGTTTTCATGTTCCAAATTCAAATTGTTTGTTGGAGATTGGAGCCGCTTGCCTCCGTCAGGCTACGCGTATATTGAGCTTCAGTAACCATGACGCCTTCCATATCTACAAATCGTGTGTGCATTCCTGCAGCAATAAACCGTTTACTCGCTGCTATGTCTAAGCGTGGTGCTGCCTTCGAACTGTTCGTTTGCTTTTCGCGTGCTAGCATTTCTCTTGCTCGACGCAAATCGTGTAAAATATAGTGCTAGGGAAAGTTATCAGTCATTAAAATTTTTTTTAATAAACAATTTAATTATAATTTTTTTTTGTATTTTAATTTGCTAGCTCGAGGGCCAGGGTTTAGTTTATTGAAAACAAAAGTAAAAAAAAAATTGGCTTTATTCTATACTTATCCGATATTCGATTGCTTATCGGCAACCGTCTTCAGGGCACTAACATTCAAATAAATAAATAACATTAGAATAAATGAATTTAAACAATAAATTAAACATTTAGCATACGTCTGCGCTTCTTGACTTGAAGATTGAAATTCTTTGGATAATTAATAAGTGTCTACACAAGAGAGCGTAATTTTATGTGTATTTTTTTAAGTTTACTCTTTAGTTTGTTGTGTAGCTTTATTAATGTATGCTGTTTGTTGAAGTGTTGTTCTTGATGTAGCAATATTGTTGGTGCCTTGTCATAAAAACAGGAAAAAAAGGTATAATGTGTTTATGCATATGTATGTAACAGGCAGAATGAAAATCTAAACTAAAAACAATGATTATCCAGCATAAATCAGGCTTCAAATTAAGACATAATTATAATATACAGAAAGCAGCACTAATGACCCATTGTACGAAAAGCAACCACACTCCAATTTTTGATGAAACAACAATCTTACAGCAAGAACAACATTACATTATTTTAATAAACAAGTAAGAGGTTCTAGTGGGAAGCTCCCGACTAGGGGATATTCTGAACCCTATTTTAGAAGCTATATGTCAAGTTTGGTGACTCTAGCTCTTATTATTTACCAAAATTGCCCAAAAAACAGGATATCGATATCGATTTTTATCGATTGCTTGAACGCAGAGTAAGTTATCGATTATCGGAAGCAAACTCGATCTGCGAGGGCACTAGGAGCACCTACATCTAAGATTTCAAGTCTCTAGCTCTTATAGGTTCTGAGATCCTTGCCTTCATACATACGGACAGTCGGACAGACAAACAGACGGGCATGGCAGATCGACTCGGCTATTGGTGCTGATCAAGAATATATATATTTATTTATGGGGTCGGAGATGCTTCCTTCTGCCAGTTACATACATTTGGATTTTGGACAAACACAATATATCTTACAGCCATTTTTAATGGGTTCAGGGTAAAAAAATAAGCGGACCTCGAGCCGGCCAACTTAACAATTATACAATTTAAGATCGGCAAAACTGATGTTTTTTTTTTGTTTTTAATAAACTGAACCCCGGACCTCGAGCCAGCTTATTAAATAAAGATTCAATAATAAAAATTCGCCAAAAGCATTATAAAGTATGAATGATTATTGCTTAGTCGGCTTAAGTCAAGTAAACAATGGAGTCAATAAAGCACCAGCTGATCGCAAAGCCTCTATAGCGGAAATGTGACACCTCCGAGTCATCTGTCAGTACATATGTCGGATCGGACTACTAAATTATACAAATGCTAATGATCAGCGCTTACTTATGCGAAACATCATTTCATATAATTTTGATACCTCATTCTCAGAAACATAGTTTAATTCAATCATATCTGACAGTGTACTTTTTTCGAATAGCCGTTAAATCCATTCTCCACTCTGAACCTACTGATGATGAGATTGTCTTAGTTACAGTTGATTTTCCTTCACGTCTTATTTATATCACATGCTCAGCTATCCCACCTTCTTCTGAAATTCCAGTTTACATAAAACAAATTACTTGTATTAAAGAAGTTTCTAATCAAGTGTGTGGTAATGACCTTCCTATCGTGTTGGGTGATTTTACCGAGCCTCTATTGGTCATTATTCACCGCCAATAATTACCTTGTACCTTTAGCAGAGCAGGTCTTTGTAAACTGCTTCCTAGATCTTTCATAAGTTCAAATCAATTTAATTTCTAATCATTTGAAAAGAACATTTGATCTTATTGGCCTTATTAAATAGTGGCCAACAAGCCACGCCATTGCTTTCACAATGGAAAATATTCCTTGATCAATCAAGGTATTTATGCTACTGATTGGCCTTTCTTATATGACTTTGATTTGTGAACTGCTGCAATTTTTTTATACGCCCTTGATTCCGTTTTATATGAATTTATGCGCCATTCAATCCCATTGTCTGCGTCTTCTAGGCCTCCCTGGTTTGCTTCCGAACCATAAAACCTAAACAAGAGGTTCTAGTCGGCAGCTCCCGACTAGGGGATACCCTGAACCTTCTTCTTCCAACATCAAATGCATATATATTCTATTTTAGAAGCTATATGTCAAGTTTGGTGACTCTAGCTCTTATTATTTACCAAAATTGCCAAAAAAAAACAGGATATCGATATCGATTGCTTGGAAACGGAGTAAGTTATCGATTATCGGAAATAAACTCGATATGCACGGGAACTAGGAGCACCTACATCTTAAATTTCAAGTCTCTAGCTCTTATAGGTTCTGAGATCCTTGCGTTCATACATACGGGCTGACGGACCGACGGACAGACAGACGGACATGGCCAGATCGACTCAACTATTGATGCTGATCAAGAATATAGATGCTTCCTTCTGCCTGTTACATACATTTGGATTTCGCACAAATACAATATACCCTTTTTTAATGGGTTCAGGGTACAAAAATATTAAGTCTAAGTATTTCGAAAGTTTTAACATATCAAACTTATTTTTTATGAATTCTCAATGCCATTAGAATTATCTAACTCTTTGCAAAAGACAATTTGCTGAAAATCCGAGACAACTTTATAATTTTGCATACTTGAAGCGTAAATCTTCTACTTTGCCCTTCTTCACAGGGCAGATTACTGATTTTTGTAATCAATTTACCCTAAAAATATGTGTTACGCTTATAATATTTTTTCGTCTATTTCTAAAATCGCTCCTATTATTTTCTATTCCTCTTACTCACCCGGGCCTGGCAATATTCCTTCTATTGTCTTTCCATCTCTTTGGAAATATAACAAATCTGCACAAATGTTTATTGGAAATTCGGTTGGATTTCTTCTTATTTAAAAGATGGGAAGCAGTTTCACATTACTTCGGGTGTACATTAAGATAGTCATCCTGGACGCTTACTATTTAATCTTTTTATAAATGATGTCCCTTCTGTTATATCACATACTCATGTACTTTTGTACGAAGATGTGACACTTTGCTTGTGTATACTAACCCTATACATCACCCTCATCTACAGGATGACTTGAACTCATTGAAACTCTGGTGGTGGAACAAACAATTGTATCTGAATTGTTTAAAGTGTATGTTTATGACCATTAATCATACTAGGACTTATCGTGTTGGCTATACGATCGAAAAAAGGCTTTTGCAACATGTACTTATAGTTAACGATCTAGGGGTTAGTTTTTATTTTAAGCTCGGTTTAAAATTAAAATTAAAGGGACTAGTAGTATAAAATAATAAAAGGGATTGCCACGTCGTTGGGAAATTTTTCCATTTTGGCTCGTTATCGTTGGAAAGGGTACCTTAGCGTTGCCATGTATGGATTTAAAACATTTTGGACTCGCTATTCACGCATACTTCCATATTTTGTATATGAATATTACAATTTATGCGCTTGTGTGTTTGTTGGTTGCCTGCCTGTCTGTCCCTTGCAAATTTGACAAGATTTAATGTTTTTTGTGATTTCTGTATTTCGGGCGCTAAAAACACACACAATCCTCGGAGTTGCCTTTCTACATAAGGTAGTAATTATTGTCGACATTAATTCTCTTTTTCTGTTACGAAGCCTTTCACGTCGATCTACGTGCACACATTCCACATCTCATTTCGTGTATTGAACCACATATTCTCTCTAGAGCTCTCTCTACCTCCAATAAGATCCTTGCTTTTAGAATGATTTCGGGAACTCACCAACCGTTTCCATCTATGAGTAAGGACTAAGCATGCCGGACAGGCTACAAATATCCCAAGAGAGAAGATTTCCCAAGTCTGTTTCAAATTCCTTTACTTTTTTCATACCCTTTTTAGTACCTCTTTTGTAACTTATTAACATTCAACACATAAAGACGCTCTAGTCGGGAGTTTCAGAATAGGGTATATCCTGAAATCTTTTCACCGACAGGTACTCAAGCTCGCGCTAGGCGCTCGCATGCTTTAGCAGTAACATAAATAAATGTAAAGAAATGGTTTCCTGAATAGGATTCGAACTAGTAACGGACCACGCTACTTGTCACCGTCTTTACTCAACAGCCAAACCAACTACAAAAGAAAACCAATTAAAATAGCAGCATATACACTCAGCACAGAAAACAATACAATTTTGTACAATACAAATTTATACAAATACAAATAAGCTTTCCATTGTTTAAGAAAAAATTTAATGAGCCCAATATTGTTACAATACCCAGATTTCAGCAAAGAATTTGGCATAATATCTGATGCAAGTAAACAAACTCAAAACCATAAGGGTGAAAGTAATAAATGTACAGCAGAAACAGAACTAACAGCAATACACTAGGCAATTACCCATTTTCGACCATACATTTATTGCAAACAATTTACAGTCCGAACAAACCATAGAACATTAACATATTTGTTTTCAATGATCAATCCTAGCTCAAAATTAACACGCATGCCGCACGCATTAGAAGAATACGACTTCACAGTTGAGTATCTAAAGGGAAAAGACAATTATTTAATAGATGCGTTATCAAGAACAACCATCAAAGAACTACAAGACATTACCAAAAACATAATGAAAGTCACTACCAGATAAAAAAGTAGACAAAAAACCTGCGCTGGAGATAAAGAAATAGAATTGGTTATGCAATCTATAGAAAAAGCTACAAAGCCCAACGTATATAATGTAGTAACCTTGCAAGTAAAAAAAATGTTGTTTCTTTCAACATGGAAAGAAAATAACTGCAAGATATGAAGTTAGCGTTATACATATTAATGGAATTTTGAACTTAATTAAGGTCTTCCAAAGGCTTGCAACCTGCATCAAATCAGCCTACTAAAATGGCACCGTGGGGAAATATCTTTGAACAAGTTTCAATAGATATTTCAAACAAATGGGCAATACAATGTTAAAAGTAGCGCTACTCAATCCGGTGACCCTAATAAAAGAAGATCAAACAAGGGATTCTAGTCGGGAGTTCCCGAATAGGGCATCCCTTGAACCCTCTTATTCCAACACTAAATACAGCACGCGCTACGCGCTCGCTTGTAGTCATAAACAAAAATAAAAAAGTTCCTTTGGCAGGGCTCGAACTCGCAACTAACCGCACTAATTGCCGCCGTCTCTACTCAACAGACACACCAGCCAAAAAAAAAAAAACTTTCTCGGTAGGGCTCGAACTAGCGACATGCCACGCCACATGCCACCGTCTCTACTCAACAGTCACATCTATAATAGAGTATTATTCTTAAAAAATGAACTAATTAAAATAAGAGCAGTGGAAACAATACAATCGAAGTCGAAACAGACACGCATGAATGTGTGTGTACATGTATACAGAAATTCTTGGATTTTGCGTCGCAAACACGTGCGCAGTTAAAATACCGGAAAGCAAAACAAAAACCGATCTTAATGAAATTTTCTACAGTACATCTTATTGTACCATAGAATATTTGTGTATTTTAAAAAGGTTAATTGCATTAAAATTGTGGCTTAAATTGGTGGGCAATATAAGTTGGGTTATTAAATTGATTTATAGCTATGAGGCGGGGAGGTGGCGATGGGTATAAAATGAAAGATCTTGATATATATATACTATTCAAGATTAAACATGGCACTTTCGGTGGCTTTATCTCTTATTATTTACCCAATATGCTCACAAAACAGGAGCTTGATATCGATTTTATCGATTGCTTGGAAACGGACTAAGTTTTCGATTATCGGAAACAAACTCGATTTGCGCATGGACTAGGAGGACCTACAGCTGAGATCCTTGCGTTCATACATAGGGACGGACGGACAGACAGACGGACATGACTAAATCGCCTCGGCTGTTGATGCTGATCATGATATATATGTACTTTCACTCCGACCGCAGATGATTTCTTCTGTTACACTCCACCACACCACGGATATGAATCCAATAGAAAGTGTTTGGTGATATCAGCCAGTTCCGAGACTTGACGTCCCACCTGGTAGTTACAATGGACCAGCTGAGCGACTTCAAAAGTTATATTTTGTTCCTGGCAATTTATTTTTAACTAAATGGAATCCAATCGTTGCAAATTGCAATAGAAATTTATAAGAAAAGTCGAAGACACAAGATAAGCAAAATCGCATGGGTCTAAATCTAACGGGATTGTCCAAAAGCGAACTGCAAAACAATTTACCGTAGCTGTAACACTTTATTGGCAGCATAAAATTTGAATATTTTTACACCCTGAATCCATAAAAAATGGGTAAAAGGGTATATTGTATTTGTGCAAAATGCAAATATATTTAACAGGCAGAAGGAAGCATCACCGACCCCATAAAGTATATATATTCTTGATTACCATCAACAGCTGAGTCGATCTAGCAATGTCCGTCTGTCCGTATGTATGAACGCAAGGATCTCAGAACCTATAAGAGCTAGAGACTTGAATTTTAGATGCAGGTCCTCCTAGTGCCTACGCAGATCGAGTTTGTTTCTGATAATCGATATCTTACTCCGTTTCCAAGCAATCGATAAAAATCGATATCGATATTATGTTTTTCGAGCAAATTGGGTAAATAATAAGAGCCAGAGTCAACAAACATGATATATAACATCAAGAATTTGTGTATACATGTACACACACATTCATGCGCGTCTGCTAAGCATTTCAACAGCATTGCAATTGCGACTTTTTTCTGAAATGCTATTTTAGTTCCATTTTTTCTCATAACTACTTAATTATTTTTGTGGCTGCTGAGTAGAGGCATAACTAGCGGTGTGTCGCGAGTTCAAGCCTTACCGGGGATATTATTTTCTTTTTTTTTTTTTTGCTGGTGTGGCTGTTGGGTAGTGTCGACAGCAAGTAATGCGGTCAGTTGCGAGTTCAAACCCTGCCAAGGGAACTTTTTTTTAATTTATGTGGTGTTGAAATTAGAGAGGTCAGGGTATACCCTAGTCGGAAGCTCCCGACTAGAACCTCTTACTTGGTAGTTTTTTAACTCCATAAAATGTTTAGATAAAGTTATTTAAACATTTTTCTGGTGTTTTGTTCTAGGAAAAATCGCGAATCGAAATAAATTAGATATTTAAAAATATTCCCACTTTAAAAAACATTTATGTTCAACTAAACCTAAAAAAAGCCTTTTTTTTTGACATACTTATATACTTATTGACATACTGTATATACACTAAGGAATCAAAATATAGGTTAAAGTTAGTATATAAAAGAACTAGAATTATGCTCAAAAAGAATAAGAAAAAAAATACTTCTATATTATAAGAAAGTAAATGACATAGAATTAAAAATAGGATGTAAAGTTTTATTAAGAAACGAAACATGGTAATAAGCTTGATTTTAAATATATACGACCACATAAAGTAAAAAAGATAGAAGATAACGATAATATCATAATATCAAGCAAAGAACAAAAGGTAAATAAGTATAGACTAAAAACTTTCATATCATAGTGTTGTAGTGTGGCCATAAGTAATAATTGGCATTGGTATATATGTTAAGCTTAAATAGCAAAAAAAATTGTTGTTAATATATATAAAGAAAAGTACCAAAAAAAATCTATATCATTAAATCTTTTACTAGTTTTTTAATTATTGCAAATCAAATAAAAGAAATTTAATTTTAATTTTCATTGTATACAAATATTCGTACCCACTAATTTATAATTTATTTATAAATTTATGATCAACCAAAACAAAACAAAAAAATTCTTCATAACTAATTTTTATAATTCTCTATTCAAATTTTTTATTTTTATAATCTTAACATTGCATATTTTTAAATTTTAATATATTTACACTTTTTCAAAAATGACGATCAATAAAAAATAACTGCCTTAAATGAACAACCTGTGTTCAAATATATAGTATGCGGCACTTTGTTGCCGATGCCCGAAATTTAATTACAACTTCAGAACATTATTCATAAGAACCAACAACAACAACCATAATCAAAACAAACGACTCGACAATAAAAACAATACAGTTCTCCCTTTTTGGTTTGAGACTACAGCATATGATCTTAGCTTCTGCACCCTTCTAACTCATTGTTGCGGGTTCTAACTCCTGCTATGCTCATAATACGCAAATTCATGTATCCTTCTTCTCCACTCACTTTCAACTCGTAAGCAGCTCGGCAGATTTGAATCAGTTTTAATTTTTCCACCAGCAAGAAACCCTTTCCCAAAATAGGCTATTTTTACTAATCATAAGTAATGTAATCAAATAGCACAAACCTTCTTATATATGTATACATTTTTATCCAAGGTCTATGAAATATATAATTTCAAATTTAGTGTGCAACTATTGGTAAAATTATTAATATTTATTTTATTGAAAAATTATATACCATTTCCAAAAATAAGGACATCAATGCCGCGACCCGCCAAATAGTTGTATGTGTGTATCATCTCACACATATTGGTGCAAATCTGCATATATGTATATGTCTGCCAAGCCAAGGGAAGTCTATAAACTTAAGAAGATTACAATATTCTGTTGCACATCTGACATCACAGCCCTAGGCTTTTTGCGTGCGATCATTTTGTATTAAAAATGATTACAATGATTATGTTAATAAATTATTTACTATAAAGAACCCTATTCATAAATTATTTAGATTTACCTAATAAAGGTAGAAATATATACTTAACATCACATAAAATAAAATTCTATGAAATGTGACTTCTTAATATATGAATGTTGGAGCGCCGTGCGCGTAACCCATTGATCTGAATGCCATGTCCTGCTGGATGTGAATTTTCTACCTGCTTGAGCCCAGACTCGGCTCTGGAACAACAATTTACTACCCAAATTATGTTGTTATTTCTACGCCTGTGCCTTGTAGGTACGACAAAGAAACCAGTAACAAACACAGTGGCATTATCTGTTCGTTTTCTTTGCACTAAGTTTTCTGTCCTCAAATCTTGCACTTACCTTTCAGCGATCAAAACTGACGACAAGAAAAAAATTGAGTTTTCTGCGCTGCCTAACCTTAACCACTTTGCGCCAGTTTTAGAACTGTAATAAAAGCTGGGAGTGAATATTCCACTCTGTATCTGAAATAAAGACACTGAATATAGACATGAAACAGCTCTGGCGTGCTTTGCGTTTTGAATATATATGTGTTATTACATTATACTAATTTTACTCATTTTTAATGAGTTCAGCGTATAAAATAAAATAGTTATTTACGACACACATTTGAATACAATGACAAAAAATATGTTATTCAACATGAAATTTCCAACATTGTGGCGCAACCAAAGAAGCACGCTGCCTTAGCGTAATTTGCGCATTTGGTCGTATATAACTATTACCTTTCTACCTTAACCCATTGAGCAAAAGGGGTATAATGTTTTTGTGCAAATTGATGTAACTGGCAAAAGGAAGCATCTGCGAACACATGAAGTATACATATTCTTGATCAGCATCAATAGCCAAGTCGATTTAGACATGCTCATCTCTCTGTCCATAACCATGAACGCATGGGTTTCTCAGAACCTCTAAGATAAAGACAGTTGGAACGTACATAGATCCTCATTGTGACCGTGCAAGTACGAGTTTCTTTCCGATTTATGTTTTATGAGCATATCCCCTAGGTTTTAAGAGGTACAATCACCAAACTTGAAATCTATAGAATAGTATATACAGGTAAAGAATCTTTCATTTGATAGCTATCGTCACCCACGCCACACAGCTATAAATCGAATAAATAAGTAAACTGGAACTAAACACTCACAATTTAACTATATTTGATGTTTTGACATTTTTTATAGCTCAATAAGAACTATTGCTGCAAATTTTATAAAGACCGGTAAGAAAACACAAAAGTAATTAAAGAAAGCGTGTGATGATATTTCCACGTGTTTGCGGCAGATAGCGCAAGTTGCAAGAATTTCTGTTTGCATGAGCACATATGTATGTACATTCAGGCGCTTCTTTCTTGAATTTTTATTTTGAGAATAAATTCTTGCTATGCTGTCTATTCAAGGTGTAATTCCTATCGAGGGAATTTTGTTTTAAATTACTTTTTTTACTGCTAAAGCAAACGAGCTGCATTTAGTGTTGGTTGGTGTTATTGGGTACGCCCTAGTTGGGAACTCCCGTCAAGAAACTTGTTCTTGTTACGCACGTGTTGTTTGCTACGGTAAGTTGAGTTTTTGTATTACTGTCGTTTCCAAACCAACTCCAATTATTAAATATTAATCATAATAAAAGCTCGATGCGAAACGTCCATTCTAATTCCTCGTTAATCAATGCATAAATTTTAAGTCATTGTTTAGTTGAATTGACTACTATTGTTGTGTCAAATAATACAATTTGTAATTATAAAAATTCCTTATACCTTCGACAAATCACATCCTTGTAGTTTAAGGTACATCCAAAATAACGTACTGTTCACATAAACCAAGAAAGTGTCAACTTTCACTTGCTCTTCAGTGGACAACGACCGAAAATTGTGTGCTCTAATAGCAGAGTGCAGATCCTTTTCCAAAACGTCCAGGCTTGCCGAAAAATTTACAAAAATACCAAGTAGTTGGTCATCGTTTAGTTGTCCATTACAATCAATAAATGGCTGGTTTCCACCGCTTGGAGCTATTATCCCTGCCATGATGTTTTATTTTTTAACTCAACACATATGCTTACTAAAATTTATAAAATATTTATACTATCGATGGAAATTCAGGTAGCTTTGAAAGTTATCGATATTATATATTAATGATATACAACATTGTCAAAGTACTGTCGGTAAGAATATAAAATTATTGGATCACAAAAATTCCTGGACGTGAGGAGTAGTTAAGTAATTTCAGCTCATATATAAAAAAATATTTGGTTTATGCGTGACGAATAGCTAGCATTGTCAAATTGTTGCATTTGACGTTATCGGCAGCACCGAGGGTTACTCAGTTGGTTGCGTGCGATATTATCGGCCACGCCGATATCTTTTTGGCATATGGTCGGAGTATGCGGGGTGAAGCTGGGCCCACGGCGGAGCCCAAAATTTTGAAGGGTGGCAACGCCAGACATGCGATCCACGGCGCCAAAAGCGACGATTGCTATTGGCCGCCCGTTTCGCTCTTAAAGGGAATACGAGGAGAGTGGATCGCATGCCCTTGGATATGCCCTTGGCCTTCATTTGGGCCGTTGACCCAAAAAAATGCAGCTGTGCAGATGAGCAGCAACGGTGCCCGCCTCGCAAATGTATGCGTGTGCCGAAATTCGGTACCGATGGTGTGGCTGCCAAAAATGTCGAGGAGTTCGATTTGTTCAGCGGTTAACGGCGGGCGTGCCAGCTCGAAGTGAGCAAAAAAAGTTGGACATTGCATTTCTGCTTGACAGAGTAAAATTTTTTCCCTTCTGAAAAATTAAGCCGGCACATAATACCAATGGCTTAACAGACGAATAAAAGTTTTGTTTTTGTGTTCTTTGCCATGTAATAAATTTATATAAATCAAACCGCTCGAATCACAAAGAAAATATAATAAAAAAATTAAAAGAGACTTAAAAATTTAAGTGCGACGAGAGACGAACCAAATAAGCCAAAAATTAACGGCTCCGGCACCAAGGAGACCAGCTCGCGCACCAGAGAGGCCCACGAAATATTCAAGGCCAGGATTCAGTGCAGCGGCGCAAACCAGCCATATCCGCGACGCCGCCAGCAAGCGTCGGCGCAAACGTGAAGGCGACGAGACGAGCCACCAACGACCGGGCTCCAACAACGAAGAAGCGGCCACAGGCGAGACCCCGCCCACATCCACCGAGTGAGTCCGTTCCATTGTTTTGCCCATCCTCGTTCGAGCCCCTGGCAGAGTCAGAAGAAGACTCCTAATTGCACTCCCTGAAAAGGAGTAGATTTTTTTATTATCGTTAAATTTAGTTAATTTGTATTTATAAAAAATATATTTATACATACATAGGCACTTACGCCGAGCTTCACTTTAGAGTGCGAACGGTGGGGGAAAACTCCAAAGGTGATGCATCTGCGCCTGTAAAATATAAAAAAAAAAAAAAATCTAAAATTAACTCTTGCGCGAACTATGCTCACATACTTACCTAATTTGAATTTACGCATTTATATCGCCCCTTACCACCCCCAGAGAGCTCTTTAGGTAGGGTAAGGTAGAATTAAGCGATTTAATACATACAATACACAATACGTGACATACCCAGTTTTAAGTAATTGTGCGGGCCATTGTTCCTAAATCGGCGCAACGATTGCCTCTAAAGTGCCTCATTGCGCGTTTCTTTTACGGCGACTCGCAATATCCTTGTAGTGTTCCGTCGCCTGTCCCATTCAGTGTTGTAAAAAAAAAAAAAAAAAAAATAAAAAAATATTAATTCTATAGGATAAGAGAAAAATTTAGGAATTAATGCGCTTTGTCAATTAGTATAAATATATGCAACAGTAATACGCACCTGTGAAGTTAATGAATTATCCGCTTGCATGAGATCCTAAACAGCTGCAAGATAAATGATTATGATTGTTATACATTTTAAGAAAACGCAACCAATTATACGCACCTATTGAAAGAAATCATGTCCGGCTAAAATAATATTGCTGGGGAGAGTGGGCATTATGGCCGACACGGGCTAATATAGGCCATCTAGTGGCCAAAATGTGGGAGACGAGTGGAGGTGATCGTCTCATGGTAGGGCGGGTACGCTGGGTCCGGAACCGGGGCCCGATCTGGAAGAGTAAGGTGGATAAATAGTGTTTTTTTGTTAATTTATATTGAGTGTCTTACCTTTGTTGTTTACATTTTCATAGTTACAGCTGTGTATTTTGTTCATGAGTTAGTAGTTCCGAATATTTGTTATCGATTATGCGGTTCATTTTGAGTAGTGTTGTGTGAGTCTGTTTTGCTACAGACGTGTAGCTTTGTTGTTATCGATTGTGCGGACTGCGGGCCAGGGATGGGACCACACCCAGAGAATCCGATGAGCCAGCCGGCGCGGCCCACTGAGAAACAAGCAGTTCCGTAACAATATGGCGCCCAATTTGAAGAAGCACTCGGCTTCTTTGAAGTCGGTGTGTAATCAAAGAAAAATAAATACGATAAAAATGAAGGTACAGAGGAAAGGACTCCCTTGGCTTCAGGACCCACACCGCTGAAGTCTTATGTGGCACGAGTAGGTAGCTCATAATCGCGCAGCGTGTAGTGGAATCCGAGAAGCACGACGGAAGTAGAGGTTATCTGAATATCCATCCATAAGCATGAGGGGTTTTTTTTGTAGTGGTTGATGGCCGTTCGCATGTTGGCGAAACATTTGCGACTATCCATCGTTCGCCTGGTGGTAGCCGCAACGACAAAGGCATCTCATGGTTAAAAAAATGTGATATTAGGGTAGTTTAGTCAGATGTTATTTATTCAATTAGTTGTTTTTGTCTCATTTTGTGTCAATGTTGGATGTATGCTGGCCGTAGTTATACGAGCTTCGGAGACCGGTGACCCAGGACGATATAGAGCCGAGCCTGCGCCGCATCTGTCACACAGCATATCCCAAGAATGGCCAGAAGAGCGACGGAGACGGATCTTGCCATGGTGTCCATTGACATGGGGTGTTTTCTTGTCGCGGTTGATGACGGTAAGTCACGTTTGCTAGTTGGTGAACGTTCGCGACCGTCAATCGTAGCCTGGTGGTAGCCGCCATGACAAAATAACCTGTGACGAAATGTGATATTAGGGTAGGTCTGACTAGAGTTTGTTTAATGTTTTCTATTTGTTTTGTCCCACTCTGTGTTAACGTTTGGTGTGTGCTGGCCGTAGTTAAATGAGCTTCGGAGGCAGGTGACCCAGGACGATATAGAGCCGATCCTGCGCCGCACCTGTCACACAGCATACTCTAGGGGTGCACAGAAGTGCGACAGAAACCAAATAGCCTTCAAGGTAGCGTTCCTTGCATGCCGTCCGTCAGTCAAACTGACGAACTGAGCATGGGACGAATGCTTAAGTGTTGTCCACTGTCCAGATTATGCGTAGATTATTTAGCCTGTGTTAGGATTTGTCTTCTCTCCCCCAAGTATTTGAAATTAATTAGAAAGAAAAAAAATTTAATTTTGTGAGTGTTTTTGTGGTCGATGTGTATTAATTTATTATTCTTTATTAGTAAGATTTGTTAGTGGGTGTTTATTTATTTATTAATTTATTAGAAATATTAGTAAAGTTTTTATAAGGGTTGTAAGCCTTGTAGAAGAGAGGGGTACTGTTCTCAGAAGGGATAAGTATGGCTGAGGAACAGGTGTCTGATTGGGCTTCTGACGCTGATGGGGCGTCGGCTCTGCCACCGCCGCGCCCAGCTGGAGGGCTGGTGCGAACGCCAATGAATTTCCGGGGATTTCCAGAGAGACAGATCCCGAAAGAGGGTCACCTGGTAGACTTGGAGAAAGAATTGGCGCAACAGGATAGACCTCCACGGAACCTGGAGTTCCCAAAAGCCCCGAAAGACTCAGTGCTCAAATCGGCGGCAAACGCGGCGATCGCTCAGGCCCACCAAACATATCTGCATGCTCTGCCATCTGGCATCAGCGAGTCCATCCGCGAGGAGATGCGAGCTGGCTTCATGGAAATGATGAAGGGCATCATTGATGTGCTTAGGCCGCCAGGGAGCCAAACCGCCGAGACTAACACTGCGCCGAAGCCGCCAAGACATGTCGAGCCGGGACCGCGAACAGGCGCCATCCCGAAAGAACGGGAAGTGTTCCAGCGCGAGGCATTCCCACCACCGGTGCCACCGAAGCCACGTAGGCAAGGCGCACGAGGGGCGGAGTATTCGTCCAGCAGCCCAGTTTACGTGGCAGATGCTCAGTCGAGGAACTGGCGTAACCCGAATAACCGCCATTTCCGAGTAGAGGACCGGAGAGCGGATGATTTTCAACCGGAGGAGGCGTACGCCAACGTGCGAGAAACTGCGTACATGAAGCTCGAGCGGTGGAACGTCAAGTTTGACGGCGAGGACGCGATGAATTCGGTCGAGGACTTCGTGTTCCGCCTAGAGTTCCTGCAGAGGCAGTATCAGTGCCCGTGGAAGGAGGTCCTGCGCGGTTTCCACCTGCTCCTGACCGGCCGCGCCCGCGAGTGGTACTGGATGCACGTGCGGCATTCTAGGGTCGACAGCTGGATGCAACTGCGGCATGCCCTCTTGGACAGGTTCCGGGGCTACCAGACGGAACACGAGGTAATGCAGGAGCTTCTACAACGAGAGCAACAGGCCAGCGAAGGGGTGGATGATTATATCCACCACATGCGTCAACTCGCCGCGCGATTCCAGAAGCCGCTGAGAGACCGAGAGCTGGTGAGGATTATAAAGCGTGGTTTAAAAGAAAGTCTGGCGAAATATATTTATGCCATGGACGTACTCACCGTGGATGAGCTGCGCCAAGAGTGCCTAGAAGTGGAGAGGCACATGGGTCGCAGAAGCCGGACTGGGTACCTTCAGCCGTCGCGTTGTCCACAAGGAACGAGGCCCGTAGTCCACGAGGTTGAAGTTCCACCGCATCTTACAGAAACGCCACCGGGAGAACTGGAGGAGGCATTCGTGCGAAGCAGGAACTCATCCCGAATTGTATGCTGGAACTGCAGACAGTTCGACCACGTCTTTAGAGACTGCCTGTCCAAGGAGCGGAAAATATTCTGCTATAGGTGTGGAAAGCCGGACACTTTCTGCTCGCAGTGTGAAAACTGTCCGGGAAACCCCAGAGGGAGCGCGGTGATGGCGGGACAGACGCGTTCCGGGACGGCGACCGCGGGAAAGCAGGAGGGGGGCACCTACCAGAGCCAATAATCATTGGAAAGGAGACGGAGATTTGGAATAAGGATCAGGATAAGGCTAATTATAATAATAGTATAAGCAAAGGAGGAACACTTAGGGGCTTACCATACGAAGAACGTGTTCGGGCATACATGTCGGCCCGAAATAGAATTTTTGGTGAGCGACAGCTGGAGGGGATGACGCTAGCCACCCGGAGAATGGTGAAGGCACGTGCGCGCTTCCGCAGACGCAGGATTACCAGGCGCCAGGTCGTCGAAGCGGTGAGACGGGAGGAGAGTATAGACCCACGAGTATTCGCCGAAGTGGAGGTCGCTGGAGCCAAAATGAAAGGGTTGCTGGACACGGGGGCCTCAGTCAGTCTGTTGGGACAAGGATGCCGGGAGTTAGTGGAGAAACTGGGATGGGAAGCGCGGCCATACGAATCGATGGTGAGGACAGCGGCGGGTGCCAATCGCCCAATTTTAGGTCGCGTTGTTCTGCCTGTGAAATACGGGAATAGAACGGAAGATATCGTATTTTACATGTGCCCGGACCTGCGACAGGAACTATACCTGGGAATCGACTTCTGGCGAGCCTTTGAGATCGCACCAGAGCTGCTCGGTCCGGCCAGAAAGTCCGAAACACCACCAGAGGCATCTGAGGTAACGGTAGCGAACCCAGAGGTGGCTTATTACCGGGACGACGACGACTGCGTAACGGATCCGGAAATGTGGGACCTGGACAACGATCAGAGGAGTCAGTTGGAAAGCGTGAAGCGCAGATTTCTCCAATTTGAGAAGGATGGCCTAGGGAAAACTCACCTGCTGCAGCACCGAATTCAGCTGATCGAGGGAGCAGAACCCGTGAAAGACAGACATTATCCGCTGTCCCCGGCCAAACAGGAGATCGTGTGGGCCGAGGTGGATAAGATGCTAAAGTTAGGCATCATCGAGGAGAGTGACAGCCCCTGGAGCAACCGGACGACGGTGGTGATGAGGCCTGGGAAGAACAGGTTTTGCTTAGACGCCAGGAAATTAAACAGTGTAACGGTAAAAGACGCGTACCCGCTTCCATGCATCGAGGGCATCCTATCGCGAATCGACGAGACTCATTTTATCTCTAGCGTCGACCTTAAGTTCGCGTTCTGGCAAATAGAGATGGAGGAGAAGAGCAGGGCGTATACGGCGTTTACTGTACCAGGGAGGCCGCTGTACCAGTTCCGCCACATGCCATTCGGGCTCTGCAACGCCGCTCAACAGCTTTGCAGGCTCATGGACAAGGTAATCCCGGCGAATCTGAGGTCCAACGTATTCGTATACCTGGACGACTTGCTGATAATATCGGCAGATTTTCCAACGCACTTAAAATACTTGGAATTGGTGGCCGAGTGTCTGAGGAACGCGAACCTCACCATAGGCATGGCGAAGTCGAAATTCTGCTTCCGCAACCTAAACTACCTGGGTTTCATCATAGGCGGCGGGACGCTGCGCATGGATCCGGGAAGGGTAGAAGCGATCCGGAACATCCCGAATCCGAGGACGGTCAAGGAACTACGAAGCTTCTTAGGTACGGCGGGGTGGTACCGCCGATTCATAAAGAATTTCGCTGAGATATCGGTACCGTTGACTGATGCCCTTAAGAAGAGAACGGGTAGATTTGTGTTGAGCGACGAGGCCATAGAAGCCATAGAGAGCTTAAAGTTAGCCCTCACCACAGCCCCGGTGTTAGTTCACGCAGATTTTCGAAGACCATTCTTCATCCAATGCGACGCATCTCACTACGGAGTAGGAGCCGTGTTGTTCCAGCTAGACGACGAACAACAGGAAAGGCCGATCGCATTCTTCTCGGCCAAACTCAACAAGCACCAGATCAACTATTCGGTGACCGAGAAGGAATGCCTAGCCGCCAAACTGGCCATACATCGATTCCGGCCGTACGTGGAGATGATGCCGTTCACGGTAATCACCGATCATGCGAGTCTGCAGTGGCTTATGAGTCTCAAAGACTTGAGCGGGAGATTAGCCAGGTGGTCCCTCGAACTGCAAGCGTTCCCTTTCTCCATGCAGTACCGCAAGGGAGCCGACAACGTCGTCGCAGACACATTGTCCCGAAGCGTGGAAGAGGTCGAACTGACCCCGGAAGATCTGTTGGGATTTCAGACCCCGGAGTTCGAGAGCACCGAATATCGAGAGCTGATAAGAGAGGTGATGAGCCAACAAGGGAAGTTGCCGGACCTTAGAGTGCAGGACGGACTTCTGTTCAAGAGGACCGTGCACGAGAGCTTGGAGGATGAGGTCGAAGGCACAAGTTGGAAGCTCTGGGTGCCGGAGTCGCTGACGGCAGGACTCATCCAACAAGCACACGCGGACGAGACGTCAGCTCATGGAGGCATGAGGAAAACGCTGCACGCGCTGCGCAGGCAATATTATTGGCCCAACATGGCCATACAAGTCAGGGACTATGTTCGGAAATGCGATACATGCAAGGAGACCAAGGCACAGAACTACCGAATGCAGGTCGGAATTGGGGAAGAAGTGCGCACCGACCGCCCCTTCCAGAAGCTATATATCGACTTCTTGGGGAAGTATCCACGGTCGAAACGAGGGCATGCGTGGATATTCGTCGTCGTAGACCACTTCTCGAAGTTTACCTTCCTGAAGGCCATGAGGGAAGCCACCGCGGCGGATGTCGTGAACTTCCTAGTGCATGAGGTGTTCTTCAAATTTGGCGTGCCGGAAGTGATCCATTCGGATAATGGACGACAATTCGTGTCAAAGTCGTTCGATGCGATGGTCCAGGCGTTTGGCATTACTCACCTGCGCACACCAGTGTATTCGCCTCAGAGCAACGCCGCCGAACGCGTGAACCGCACAGTGCTGTCGGCAATCCGAACCTACCTGGGTCAGGATCATCGGGAATGGGACGCGTACCTACCAGAGGTGGAAGTGGCGATCCGGAATGCGGTCCACAGCGCTACGGGAGTCACTCCGTTCTTCGCGGTCTTTGGACAGCAGATGTACCTGAATGGTTCCAGTTACAAACTGGCCAGGAAGCTGAGATCATTGGCCGACCACAGTATTTCTGACCTTGACGCAAAGGACAGACTGGCTGTAATCCGAAGCCAAGTCAAGGACCACCTGCACACCGCATACGAGCGAAGTCGCCAACGGTACGACCACCGCGCGCGACAGCTCCATCTGGAACCGGGACAGGAAGTGTGGAGGCGCAACTTCGCACTAAGCAGCTTCGGCAAAGCCTTCAATGCCAAGTTCGCCCGGAAGTTCTTGAAGAGCCGCGTCGTCCGAGCCGTGGGAACCAACGCCTACGAGTTGGAAGATCTCCAGGGACGCGTGCTAGGCGTCTTCCACGCAAAAGATATACGAACATAATCGTAATTTGCTCACCTCCTTGCCAGGCAACGGCGGCGGCAGCGCCAGTCCCCCCTTTTTTTTTGGGTCAGCAAAAAAAAAATATAGATTACTTGTCGTGGGTGTGGCCTACGTTGGGCATCGTTATTAGCCGGCTGGGTCAATCCATGAAATGCGCACGCAGATTCCTTGTAACTGTCCTTCATGTCGTTACAATAATCTGCGTGGTGATGTTGCATTTGACGTTATCGGCAGCACCGAGGGTTACTCAGTTGGTTGCGTGCGATATTATCGGCCACGCCGATATCTTTTTGGCATATGGTCGGAGTATGCGGGGTGAAGCTGGGCCCACGGCGGAGCCCAAAATTTTGAAGGGTGGCAACGCCAGACATGCGATCCACGGCGCCAAAAGCGACGATTGCTATTGGCCGCCCGTTTCGCTCTTAAAGGGAATACGAGGAGAGTGGATCGCATGCCCTTGGATATGCCCTTGGCCTTCATTTGGGCCGTTGACCCAAAAAAATGCAGCTGTGCAGATGAGCAGCAACGGTGCCCGCCTCGCAAATGTATGCGTGTGCCGAAATTCGGTACCGATGGTGTGGCTGCCAAAAATGTCGAGGAGTTCGATTTGTTCAGCGGTTAACGGCGGGCGTGCCAGCTCGAAGTGAGCAAAAAAAGTTGGACATTGCATTTCTGCTTGACAGAGTAAAATTTTTTCCCTTCTGAAAAATTAAGCCGGCACATAATACCAATGGCTTAACAGACGAATAAAAGTTTTGTTTTTGTGTTCTTTGCCATGTAATAAATTTATATAAATCAAACCGCTCGAATCACAAAGAAAATATAATAAAAAAATTAAAAGAGACTTAAAAATTTAAGTGCGACGAGAGACGAACCAAATAAGCCAAAAATTAACGGCTCCGGCACCAAGGAGACCAGCTCGCGCACCAGAGAGGCCCACGAAATATTCAAGGCCAGGATTCAGTGCAGCGGCGCAAACCAGCCATATCCGCGACGCCGCCAGCAAGCGTCGGCGCAAACGTGAAGGCGACGAGACGAGCCACCAACGACCGGGCTCCAACAACGAAGAAGCGGCCACAGGCGAGACCCCGCCCACATCCACCGAGTGAGTCCGTTCCATTGTTTTGCCCATCCTCGTTCGAGCCCCTGGCAGAGTCAGAAGAAGACTCCTAATTGCACTCCCTGAAAAGGAGTAGATTTTTTTATTATCGTTAAATTTAGTTAATTTGTATTTATAAAAAATATATTTATACATACATAGGCACTTACGCCGAGCTTCACTTTAGAGTGCGAACGGTGGGGGAAAACTCCAAAGGTGATGCATCTGCGCCTGTAAAATATAAAAAAAAAAAAAAATCTAAAATTAACTCTTGCGCGAACTATGCTCACATACTTACCTAATTTGAATTTACGCATTTATATCGCCCCTTACCACCCCCAGAGAGCTCTTTAGGTAGGGTAAGGTAGAATTAAGCGATTTAATACATACAATACACAATACGTGACATACCCAGTTTTAAGTAATTGTGCGGGCCATTGTTCCTAAATCGGCGCAACGATTGCCTCTAAAGTGCCTCATTGCGCGTTTCTTTTACGGCGACTCGCAATATCCTTGTAGTGTTCCGTCGCCTGTCCCATTCAGTGTTGTAAAAAAAAAAAAAAAAAAAATAAAAAAATATTAATTCTATAGGATAAGAGAAAAATTTAGGAATTAATGCGCTTTGTCAATTAGTATAAATATATGCAACAGTAATACGCACCTGTGAAGTTAATGAATTATCCGCTTGCATGAGATCCTAAACAGCTGCAAGATAAATGATTATGATTGTTATACATTTTAAGAAAACGCAACCAATTATACGCACCTATTGAAAGAAATCATGTCCGGCTAAAATAATATTGCTGGGGAGAGTGGGCATTATGGCCGACACGGGCTAATATAGGCCATCTAGTGGCCAAAATGTGGGAGACGAGTGGAGGTGATCGTCTCATGGTAGGGCGGGTACGCTGGGTCCGGAACCGGGGCCCGATCTGGAAGAGTAAGGTGGATAAATAGTGTTTTTTTGTTAATTTATATTGAGTGTCTTACCTTTGTTGTTTACATTTTCATAGTTACAGCTGTGTATTTTGTTCATGAGTTAGTAGTTCCGAATATTTGTTATCGATTATGCGGTTCATTTTGAGTAGTGTTGTGTGAGTCTGTTTTGCTACAGACGTGTAGCTTTGTTGTTATCGATTGTGCGGACTGCGGGCCAGGGATGGGACCACACCCAGAGAATCCGATGAGCCAGCCGGCGCGGCCCACTGAGAAACAAGCAGTTCCGTAACAAAATCCACACACATCATCTAGTGTTATTGTCGGTTTTGTCCAATATACCGTCTAATATATGTTTATGTTTTATATATTTCAAACGATTATTAGTTATTTGTGTAAACAATACAACTATTTCAAAAACGTTGGCGGCAGGGCTATTTATTTTTAATTATTCAATTTCAATTACCCGTAATTTTATAGGGACAACCGTATTGGCAATTTTTATTATAATGTTGTTATTTTAAAGAGAGGATACTTCACAAGGATGAGTACAATGCGAGAATAGCAAGACGCAAACCACTCATTTCGAGTAAAAGCTAATCAAAGAGATCTGCATCTGGCAAAGAGTTTTATTCGTAACCTTTAACTTACTGGAACGGCTTGTGTAGTACCAAAGACAATATAAACACTAAGATGAGTAACGCCCATACATTTGAATGCGACGCAAAATTTCTAGCCTAGCCTTTCATCTGGCCTTTGAGGCTTCGTACGGCATGCCTGCCGACTGGTTGTTCGTTCTCCAAAGACCAGACGAACGAATGCCGAAGTCGCGGCTTGCTGATGCTGACACGAGCTACGAAGTTAGTCGCCAGCCAGCCTTCAGCAAAGCTGGTCGATGCTGCTTTGCGTCGCTTCGTTTTCGAAGTACATTGAGCGAAAAAGTTTAGAACTTCCGATCGACGCAAAGTGCTTGTGCTTTATTCATGAAATGCATGCTTTATTTAAATGATGTATTACCCTAGATATTAACAAATAATTTTACTGGAAAATTTAAGAACTTTTATAATTTTGACACAAGGCGCTCCTTGCGCAATAACTATGTTAAGAAAATAGCACACATAGATTGATTTCACTTTCCTTTTTGGACAGTGTATGCGAGCGTGCACCTTTCGTTGTATGCGTGAATTATACATGCATAAGAACTTTAAAGTATGTATGTATGTGTTGATATTCACTGATCAGGCTTTAGCTGGCAAGAAATTAATTTCGTTAGTTTTCTACCGCAGATCATGACCTATCCCATATTTATGTTGATATATGAATGCATTTTGTGTACTGAGGTTGGCTCCGCAGAAAATACCCGAAGGTCATATTTAGTTATGACCCCATTATAAATTTAATGGTCTCCTCGCGGTGTTCCCTGCGTACTTTGTTCTTTATAATTCGAACAACAAAAATAATAAAAAAAAAAAAATAATTAAATGTTTCTTTGAAAAAATAATTTAATTAATAATTTCAAATATAAAAAATTACATAAATATTTGCATCGACTTAAAAATACAAATTTTTTTGTACGGAGCCAACCTCAGTACACGAAATGCATTCATATATCAACAGAAATTTTGGGTATGTCGTGATCTGCGCTAAAAAACTAAGAAAATTGTTTCTTTGCCAGCCAGAGACTTTGTCAGAGCAGTGGATAACAACACATTCAAATATGCTGTTATGTATGTATATTCACACGCATACAAACATAATTGCTTGCACGGTCGTCACAGAGCCGAAGCTGAGACCAAATTCTATTTTTAGCTTTGTCGTTCTCTCGGCTGTGAGAGCGTTATGCTACAGATTTAGTTTTCGTTCTCAATTTTCAAAAAATCAAGCTGCATAGTAGCATTTTGTTGTATGGCGTTACTCATCTTAGTGTTTATATTGTCTTTGGTAGTACCCTTTGCAAAGTTTTGGAGCGTATTCCTTTCCCAGTCTCTTCTATAACCTCTGATACTATTTGGGATGATACGATTTTTTCATGATCTTAAGTATTATTTTGACGCAATGATGACCCGTTAACTTTCATTGGCGCCGTTAACTTGCGTTCAGCATTTTCTACGGCAAGGTCGTCCGAAAATGTATTAATTTTGTTCCATATAGTTTATTGTCTCCTGGCCTAAATTTATTATAATTTTTCGCTGTTCTAAGGTGGTTTCACAATTCTTATCGACCATTTTTCAAAAAAGAAATGATATAAATTAATCTTATATTAATTTTTCTAATTTTATTTTTAGATTCAATTTTTAGCAAAGAAAAGTGACACCATATCCAAAATAATATTCACATAACGTTATATTGAAAATTGCCAATACTTTTGTCCCAATAAAATAACGGGTACTTGTCACATTTTTAAAAATTGTGTAAATTCGCCACGAACATTTCTTGGTTTGTGAGATCAATAATGAGATTTTTATCGATGTTGTAAAAAAAATGGTAAAGTATCATAACCATAAACAGCTGATTTACCAACGAATGCAAGTGACAACTTTATAAAAGAAATTGAATATTATAATAATCCCACAGTTTTTAGAATTTAAACATTGCGAAATCTCGAAAAGAGTACCTAAAATGGAGCCCTTACTTCGAGAGCGCAATTTTGAGTTTTGGAAGAAAAACTTTACGGCTCTTATGTAAATTAAAGAAACTTGATCACCTGTTTATTTAAAGAAGCGGTACTTTTGCCACTCACATGTTACCGAAACCCGGTGAAACACTGATATGTGAAATTTAAAAATGTGACATTTTTTAAACTAGTGGACAGAGGCTATAATACATTTTATAAAATTCCACATGTTTGTAGAATGTGTAAAATTCGGCTTTTGCGCTTTCCCATACGAAAACACATTTCACACATTTTTCAACACGTCACATTTTTGAAAAATGTGTCAGTTCGCCCCGAATATTTCGTGTTTTTTGCGGTGATTATCGAGATGTTGATAGATGTTGTGAAAAATGTAAAAGCATCATAACCATAAACAGCTGATCTATCAAACGAAGGCAACCGCCCAGTTTTTAGCACTAAAACATGGCGAAATATCGAAAAGTGTATGTAAAATAGAGTCCTTACTTCGTGATCGCATTATTTGATTTTTGGAAGAAAAACTTTGCGGCGCTTATGCAAATTAAAGCTACTCAATTAGCTGTTTATTAAAAGAAGCGGTACTTTTCGCACTTACATGTTTCCGAAAATCGGTGGTTTACCAATATGGAAAATTTGAAAATATGACATTTCTTATGCCACTGGACAGAGGCTATAAGCCTAGATAGACATTTGAGTACCTTACTTTTTCAAATTGTTTAGACTTGGACGTTTCTGGTGAAGGGTGATATAATATCTTTCTGCAACAGTTATAATCGTTTGCGCTGGTTGTCTGTTATTTAAATGCCTTGTTGGCCGCTAAGCAAATAGTTTACTAGATGCTCCTATAATAAAGAAACGACAAGCTTTTCAGTTATATAACTTAAATGGGCCTATTTTTTGGTTCTCATCAAACGGATCATTGTTGGATTCTTTAATCCTATTCTACACCGAAGTCTTTAAATTTGAGTACATACAAATGTGTGTGAATGGGCTGATCATGGGCGCAAAAAAAAAAAATACATATCATTATTGGCACGCGTCTGATGCGCGCCCTTCTTTTTTAAGATTTCGATTGAAACGATCCCTAAACATAAAGAGAGAGCATTGAGAGCTGAGAGTAATTGCGAGCGTGATAAAAGTTAACAGCGCTGCCGTTCTATCGCACAAACCAATCACATTCCTGTAGAGTAAGCGGTTCAAAAATACTCCCTTACTGCCTTACTCGCGATTTTGGATCAGATGCCTCCGATACTTTTTGTGACAACGTTGTTTGTATGTGATGTCCAGTCTATATGTTGTTTGGTTAGTGTTAGCATCAAGAGTTGAGTCGACCTATCCAGTTAAGCTTAGTTCCGATAATTGATAACTTGTCCCGATTTCATACAATTGAATTAAATAAATATCTATCACACGAACTTAAGCACTAACCATACAATGTGTAGACATACCAAATGACCCTTTGTATCGAAACAACAAAAATCGAAACGAGGCGACCCCAAGGGTACCTGCGACCATTTTAGTGTGCGCAGACAGATTAAGACTGCTGAGAATGGCAGCGGAACCCCGGCCTCGAAAGCCGAAGGTTTAATATGAAGCCACATCTTGCTCAGCGCACAACGTCGCAGCGGCTGATGCGTTTTCATAATGTATATGTAATTTTTAAATCTGTACAGCCCAAAAACATATGTGTGTATGCATGTGCCTCGCTCTCAGTCATTGGATTGCGCATTTGCGTCCATCTCTTTCTCCATGCATAGCTTCCCACAAAACCCCGAGATCTACAAACATTCATATGTTTGTCTTGTATGGATGTGCGCACAAATAGATTACGGCGTTAGTCGCAAGCCCGAGGTTATTTCTTCAATTGTGTGCCCTTTGGGCCTGTGGTAGCCATAGGTACTCACATTTAAATGCTCTTCGTGCATTTCTTCGTCTAGTTAGGCATAATAATAAAAATTTTATCTAATTTTACTTAATACACACTTAATTGACCTAAAGGAAATATTTATATCTATTTTGTGTTTACTGTAGGGACCTATTTTGCTTAAAATACAAAAATATCTAAGTCGTATTTCTGCAAAGGAAATTCATCGTCGGCTTGTAAGAATTTTCAGAAAAGACCTAAAAATTTACAATGTTCAATTTTTGCGTCTTGTTGCTTGTCACACGCACAATCTTACGAGTAAGCAGTTGTGTGATATTATTAAAGGGTTTGACATGATCATGTGCAAAATTGTGTGTAATGTACAAATTTTGTTACTAAACATTTTGTTGTGTCGATCCTCAATAAGACTTCGTTAGAAGGTCCACATGGAAAGCGGTGGTCTCGCGGTAAAGTCGGAGGGCGAATAATCGTAAACATCCACACCAATCTTTACTACTGGCTTTCCTGTAGACCTTAGGCGCTAAACTTCCATTTTTAACATACAAGAAGTGGACAAAAGGAAACCAAAACCTAACGTACAGCGTATAAACTGTATCCAGCAACATATGGGTGAGGCTTTCTACAACTAAACAACTATTTAACTTTTTTTTTGCAGGATCTGAGGTGAAGTACGATCCTAGCGTTCCGTTACCTACCCAGGAATCTTGCATGCCAGTTTACAGAGACTCCCTATTGTAAACTAATCTAGAACATTAGGTTCCTATGCCTCCCATTAATAA